GCGGGAGGTTCGGGAGGACCCCAGCTTGGAGGGACTCCGGCAGATGGCTCAGGAGCAAGAGACTGAGTTCACTCCGGACAAGAGGGAACAGGTGGTCTGGGATAAGGGGCTTCTCTATCGGTTGTGGGTGCCGAAGAACCATGCCGAGACCTGGGAGCCCCAGCGCCAGCTCATTGTACCCCAAAAATACAGACGGGAATTGCTCTCCATGGCTCATGATCTACCATGTGCTGGTCACATGGGCAGGGAACAGACACGCCAGCGATTACAGGTGAACTTTTTTTGGCCCAGAATTGCCCAGAATGTGACGGACTATTGCAAATCTTGCGAGACATGCCAGCGGACGGGCAAAAGCGGGGACAAGAGAAGGGCCCCCCTGCAGCCCCTCCCGATCATCGACCAACCCTTCCACAGGGTGGCCGTGGACATTGTGGGACCACTGAAGCATAGGACTCGTAGGGGAAAGAAATACATACTGACTCTAGTGGATTACGCAACGCGGTACCCGGAGGCTGTTGCTTTAACCTCCATCGAGGCACCCGTGGTGGCTGACGCCCTCATCAAGGTCTTCTGCCAGCTGGGTTTTCCCTCCGAGATCCTGACGGACCGGGGTGGGAACTTCATGGCGGAGATAATGGAGTGCCTGTGGGACTGCTGTGGGGTGCAACACCTTAAGACCACAGCCTACCACCCTCAGACAAACGGGCTGGTGGAAAGGTTCAACGGGACATTGAAAGGTATGCTAAAGGCCTATGTGGACTCCAACCCCAATGACTGGGATGAGAAACTGCCACAGTTGCTCTTTGCCTACCGGGAGGTGCCCCAGGAGTCCACTGGGTTCTCGCCCTTCGAGCTGATGTTCGGGAGGCGAGTGCGAGGTCCTCTCGATTTGGTGAGAGAGGAGTGGGAAGGGAAGATCGCTTCCACAAAGACCTCCGTGGTGGAGTATGTGCTTGACTTCCGTCAGAAACTGACTGACATGATGAAGGTGGCACGGGACTCCCTGGGACAGGCCCAGGAGAAGCAAAGGTCCTGGTATGATAAGAAGGCCCGCTTACGTACCTTTGAGCGGGGTGAGAATGTAATGGTTTTCCTGCCCCTAAAGACAGACAAGCTGCAAGCTGCTTGGGAAGGTCCTCATGCTGTCCTGGACAGACTGGATGATGTGACCTATGTAGTGGGTATTAAGGGTAGGAAACCTAAGACAATTCACGTGAACATGCTTAAACCCTACTACGACAGAAAGGAGATGGTATTCTGGGTCCCCTCCGTTGAGGGAACTCCGGAGGTCTGTGCCCCTCTCCAGAGATCTGTCTCTGCCAGCCTGAGAGGCTGGTGTTGAATCCCTCAGGGCGGGGATCTCACTCCTTGTCTGCATGAAAAAAGCCTGGGGTCTGAATGCTGTGGTCACCTGGGCAAGGGGGGGGAAAGGCCCGGTCCTGCACGCGGGCCCAGGTAGCCAGGGATGCGTGGCAGCTTGGTCGGCT